TTCTTCTTCTTCTTCTTCTTCTTCTTCTTCTTCTTCTTCTTCTTCTTCTTCTTCTCCTCCTCCTCCTCCTCCTCCTCCTCCTCCTCCTGCTCAGGCGACAGGTCGGTGGCTGGCAGCCATCGTGGCGGCCGCCTCATGCCCGGCGCTCCGTTCAACATCAGCAGGAACGACCGCGGCCTCCAGCAGGTCGTCCTCACCACCACCTACTCCTTCAACAACCAATCAAACGACGCTTTCCTCTTCAGACCCTCCGCCATCCGCAGAGCACAGAGACAGGTACGACACACCTGGGAGGTCAAAGGTCAAGAGCAGCTCAATATAAACCCTCTGGGCCTCATTATTTACCTTCAGTTTACCCACAACTACTGATGCACTTAAGGTGGTATTGATGGATTAGTTAGTGGAATGTGAAGGTTTTTTAAACGTCTATGAATTTATATCAGAAACATTCATTCATTTTTAACTGAGGTGAAAATTCATGGACCAGAACCAGAACCTGGGGTTAGCTGTAAGGTTGAAGGTCACAGACGAGACGAACACAAACAATCACAAATAAACATGAAAACAATAAATCTACAGTTTGTATAAAAATATTTAAAACATCAAAATGAAGTAAAGTGACATAAATAAACATAAAATCAAAATAAAATATAAAGAAATAAGAAAAATCATATATTTCATAAAAATAGAAAAAAGAAATAAAGTAAAATAATAATTAAATGCTACATTAGATTTACTACATGAAAACTCTGACACTAAATCAACAGAGGCAGAATTATGATGTTTGACATCAAGATTCAGTAACATTAACATGAAAATAATAATAATTATGACGCGTGAAGAAACACTGAGTCAGAGATCAACATCATTATAATAAAAACAGGAATCACCACTTTTCCAGATGTTGTTTATATATTTATATTTTTATATTAATATATTTCAGATCGTTAAAGGGATCAGATACATCGTAGATCTGGAGATTTCTAGAACCGTCTGTCGTAAACGAGACCACGACAACATCCTGTCAAAGTGTGACTTCCAGCCTGAAGGTCGTCTGCACCAGGTGAGTCTGACCTGAGGTCAAGTATTAATACTACACTGTGAAAATACATATTAATACTTTACTGTGAAAATACATATTAATACTACACTGTAGAAAATTGACACAAGTCCTGCATTTAAAGTGTCACTTCAGTAAAAGTGTGTAATTAAAATAATCAGTAAAATGTCTGACTGTTTTTATATTGTTGTTGTTGTTGTTGTTGTTGTTGTTGTTGATCCTCCCTCAGACATGAGACAACTGTATCTCAGTACAAAATAAACAGGTTTGTAGGTGAAAGGCTTTTATTGTGAAAACTGGAGGTTGTTTGTTTTCCAGACGTTTCAGTGTCACTTTGAAGTCTGGTTGATTCCCTGGCAACAGGAGACCAAGATTCTGGTCTTCCTCTGTGGACCCTGAGACCAGCAGCTGATCCAGATCCACCAGGTCTCTCCTCTGCTCCTGTGGTGACATCCACCTGATCACCTGTTCACCTGTAACACCTTGTTCACCTGTCTCTGCTCTAAACCTCATCTCGTGTATAAAATGAAACTTTCTCACTTTTGTCACAATAAAAACAAGAAGTCTTTGACTCTTTTCTCCTGTGGTGTGTTTGAGTGCAGACGACGCTCCCTGCTGGTCAGAGGGATGAACACCTGAACGCAACCTCTTTATATATCACATTTTAATGTATAAAATAATGGATATATATAGTTAATTAATTAATTAATGTCTGTTTAAAAAAACAGACAAGAATCTGACTTTGAAATTCATGTAGAAACTTATTGTCTCAAATGTTTAATAACAAGAAAACTATAAACTACTATAAACTATAAACCAAGGAATGTGTTATGAAACTGAGTTCCTTTATTTTGAAAGGTCATTAATGGTGATGGAGAGCAGGTAAAAATAAAAACACAGAAGCTGCAGAACAGGTTTCTGCAGCAACAAAGACAGATCTAAATAAAGGAGAGAGTTCAGTCCTGAACCAGGAGGAAAGAGACGAAAGAGATCAGCTGTTTTCAGCTCCGAGCTTTAACGAACAGAAAAAACAAACTGTCAAAAAGATCAAAGTCACAACGTCTCAGTGCAGAAAAAAGAGACACAAACTATATTTGGCAGCTGGTTGAGACGTGAAAACAAACGTCCTCTCAGAGTAAACACATCTTTAACTCTGAGTTCAAGTCGTTAGACTCATTAATGATCTCGTTAGCTGGAGGTAATGAGCGGATTCATTCAGGACACCAGATGTGGTTCGTCTCCAGGCTCAGACTCGACCATCAAGAACATGAAGTCCTGAAGCCCGTCGTCCTTAATGAAACACGTCGAAGCTTCAGACCCTGGTCTCTGAGACCGACTGAGACCAGGATCTGGACCTGAGTCAGAACCACTCATCTGTTGGTTCTGGATCAGGAGATCATTAAGATCTCAGGACAACAGATTCACATCTGCAGATGATGAAGAAACTTTCTGAGTCAAGTGAGAAAAGAACTGAACTGAGTGTTTGAGTGACAGTGACTGAACAGACGAAGCTTCAACTGCAGGTAGTGAAATGAGTTTTAATCACTGTGTTTCAGTAAAAACCAGGATCAGCTTCAAAACCACATCAAGAATCATTCAGGTCAGAGTCTCCTGTGTGTTTTAAACAGGTAGCATTAGCATGTTAGCAGCAGAAAATCACATCAACATCTGAAACTGAAACCTGACCTGATGCTAAAGATGCTAAAGATGCTAAATAACAGAGATGTGTCTGAAAACCACGGACAGTGAAACATTAAAGCTCCTCCAGTGTAAAGGTCTGTGTCCATGTGTAGTGTGATTATAGATCAGCTCTAGCTTCTATATTAATACTGTGAAAGTATCAAAGCCTCAGTCCACAGAGAAATGCACACAGCCTGTATTCAGAAACTGAGCCTTAAAACCAGCCGTCAGGACTTCTGGAACTTTGTGATGTCACAACAAAGCAGTCACCAAGCCCCGCCCACCTGGACCCACCATCCAAACCTTGCAGGATTTGGTTTCTCTGAGTGTTTTTACCTGAAATCTGCTTTATTTTTATTGGATCACTCAGAAAACAGTCAGCCAATCAGAAGAGAGGCTCAGAGCCTCCTCTCTTCTGATTGGCTCACAGACCTGTTGTTACTAGAGCTCCAGAGAGAAGCCTGAGAGAGGAGATGTAAAACTACACTGAGATGGTTTTTATATCTTCTGATGGATCAACACTTCAAATAAAACACAGAAGAAGAAACATGGGGGTTGTAGTTTTCAGCAGATGGAAACCTGTAAATAATGACACTAACGTTTTCTTTGTTCTGTCTCAGACAAACGTGACACTTACTTCAGTTAAATAGCAGCTAGCAGCAGCAACAAGCTCAACACTGATGATGCTAATTTAGCTCTAAGAGCTAATAAAAGGAAATGTTAGCATGAGTGAAATTACTAACCACAGAGTGACGATCAGTCACCGCGTAAACGTGACTCTGGCATCGTTTGATTCTGGAGTCGTTCACTTTCAGAATCTGTTGAAACTTACTTCTTTTTCTCCAAATTCACTTTTTCACTGAACAAAAAAAAACAAAACATTTTAAAAGTAAAAAAAAAAACAACAAAAAAAAACACAATCAGACGAAGGAAAACTTTGTCTGAAGAAAAGTGAAAGTGGAGAAACGATTTAAACCCGGAGCTGTCTGCTCAGAGCTCAGGGGCCGGCTGCACAGAACACCTCAACTCAAGAATCTCCTTAAAACGTTCACTCAAGTATTTCAGCTTCCTCCTGATCTGAGTCTTAAACTTCAGGAATCACTTAAACTGACCAAAGTTCACCTGCTGAAGTTCCCGCCAAAACAACAGGAGGATGAGATCACAGGCATCACAAGTGCTAATGGCAGCAAATCAACAGTCTCCATGGAGACTGTAGAATTTTACTGCTGTAAAATCTCTCTCACTGCTGTAAATACCGCAACTGTTTTCTTTAATGCAGTAAAAATTTTTAAGAGATTCTGTGCAACACCCATAAGTAATTAAACTTTTAATCAAATTAAAAAAATTAAACCTTAAGTGTCATTACTTCAAAAATTAAGGTGTTTAGTTCAAACGGCCCCTTGTTCAGTTTAAAGCTGCAACAATTAGTCAATTAACAAATAATCGGTAATTGGTCGTTGCAGCTGTAATCAATCTGACCAGATGTTTGACGTCAGACACGTTTCCGTCGGTACCAAAGAGTTTTGAGCTTCGAGATTCGTCCACAATCTGTAAAAAAAAAGATTAATAATAATAAATCTGAGCAACACAAACACAAAGTTCAGTCCGGTTCGTCCTCTGGAGACCGCCACCGTTAATCCATCAGACAGGCGTCATGAATCTGATCCAGTCTGACACACCTGAGCTCGGGTCCCTCGTCATCTCGTCCCGGTCCCTCCGGGTCCTGGTCTCAGACTTCATCCTTTCGTCTCAAACGTCCGTCTGTCTTTTTTTTTTTTATACCTTGCTCAGGTCGAGTTTGGCGATGTACGGCGAGCGGAAGGAGCCCAGGTACAGACTCCCGTCGTGCTCATGGACCTCGCTGATGTACGCCACCACCAGGCCGTTGGGGTCGTGGAAGCTCCGCGTGCAGACGCCGCCGTCGTGGAGCTCCGCCACCAAACTGTAGCGAGGGACGAACTTCATCAGAACCTCCTGACTGAAGAGCTGAGACGAGGAAGGAAGGAAGGAGATAAGGAGCGGTAGGAGGAGAAAGGAGAGAAGGTTGTAGGAAGGAAGGATGTAACAAAGGAGGGAATGAAGGACAGAGGAGGCGAGGAGGGAAGAAGTTAAGGTTAAAGGTCAAATATGAAACTGTCTCATCACAGTTTTAATTCGATGATTCAGACAGAGCTCTCACAGCCGGACCATGAATCTACTTTTAATTTTCATCATGATTTTGTTTTCCAGCGATTCTGAAAACGATTATTGTGCCGCAACAAATTCCGTCCCCCGTCCACTTCCTGGTTACGTGTCAGCGTACGTTAGCAACGTAGTAATGCTGAATATTTGTTTTGGAGTTTTCAGTGTATTGGTGAAGCACTACAACTTTTTTATCTCATTTATTTTTATTTATCATTATATTTACTGAATATATGTTTATATGTTTTTAACACAGCTGATCTTAGTTATTTTGATCTAATTTATTTTTATTAATTTTATATTATATATTTCATTGTTTATATATATAATTTATTATTTTATTTATTAATCTCAGTCTTTACATTTTTATTTGTTTTTCTGTTGAATTATATTTGAAGAAAAAGGTTTTTTTAAAGTTCAATAAATGCTGGTTATTTTAACGTGGCCCTGATCGTCTTCCGTCCTTCCCAAAGTCAGTGACTCTTGTTCAATAACTGTGATTCAATATTGATTAGAATAATCCCGATTATGAATTTTGCCATAACCAAGCAGCTCTACTGGGACTCCGGCCAATCAGAGCACAGGACAGTCACCAGAGCGACGCCTCCTGCTGTGGGTCGATGATCGTCTCTGTGTGTACACCTGGACAGACGGTACGTCACTGTTCCTGAGTCTACCTGAGACATGTCCCGGTCCTGGACCTGCGCTCTGTGTTTTCGTACCTTAAAGATGAGTTTCTTGATCCAGGGTCTCTGGGACAGGAAGTCCAGCATGGAGAAGCCGGGGTTGGGACGCACCGCGGACATGGCGACCCAGTAACCTCCGGTGGAGCTGGGACGGATGTTGTCAGGGAAACCGGGCAGGTTGTCTATGAAGGTGTCCATCCCACCTTTATTTAGACCGGCCACGTGGACTCTGGTCCAGAGACAGGAAGAGAGACACTGGTTATTGATCTGTATCATAAGAAGACGTAATAACTGGTTTATTGATCTGTATAATTAATTTGGTTTTTATTTTTATTCATTTTTACACAATTTAAAAAACACAGAAAAAGAAAAAACAGCTGATGGAGCAGGAAGAGGCGGATTTAAAGCGTCATGTTCAAATATCACTAAATTATAAAAATACTAAATGAACAGACAATAACGTGACGACAGAGAGACGATGAGGAACGAATAGATTCTAAATATATTTAACAATAATATCAAAATAAGAGCGGAACATGAAAACAATCAGATACAACGTTTCTAACAGACTAATGCAGCTGTGATCAGATCAATATTTATAGTAAATATATATATGATGATATAGTAAGACACATCTGGAATAATGTAGAACAAATATTGAACATGAATAAACACTAACATCTGTTCTTGTATCTGCATTATGTTCCGTTATAAACCTGTTATTAATGTTGAAACTGAATATTAATGTTAAATACTGTAGTAGATAGTAAAGTAAAGTATTAAAATTATAATATTTATTAATATTATATATTATTGTATTTAGGTAATTGATGTAATTGAAAAATGATTTCTTATGTAACGTAACGATGTGTCAGTGAGTTCAGTTTGAGTCTCGTTCTCTGCAGGAAGGATGAAAATAAACCAACACCTCCCACTACAACCACTGACCTGACACACACACACACACACACACACACACACACACACACACACACACACACACACACACACACACACACACACACACACACACACACACACACACACACACACTCGCAGACACACACAGACACACACACACACAGAGACACACACACACACACACACACACACACACACACGCAGACACTCACACACACAGACACACACAGACACACGCAGACACACACAGACACAAACACACAGACACACACAGACACACACACACAGACACACACACTCTCTCTCTCTCTCTTCATGCGGGTAAAATGAGGCCAGCTCGTTTCCGTGGCAACAAAGAGAGCTAACCCTCCTCCATCACAGAGAAGGTAATTTAACATTCATCAAATATGATACACAGAGATCATTTGTTCTGTCTGAGGAGCTGTTGTTGTTGTTGTTGTTGTTGTTGTTGTTATTATTAACTGATCAAAATCAGATATAATTAAACCTGGATTTATTTACTTGTTCTTATTGTCAACATTAATGAGCTTGTATGAGTGAATTCTGTTTATTTTTATTAATCTATTTCATTAACTTCATTTTATCTTTTTAATTTAACTTCATTTTATTTTAGTTTGTGAAGCTTCATGTCAGAACCAAATTCTTATTTCATTGTATTTTATTTGGTTTTTCAAGCATTTTATTTTGAAACTTTCTATGTTATTTTATTTTTATTAATTTCATTAGAACACTCCTGCAGGTCCATGAGTCGGGTGTGTTACCTGCGTATCCGGGCCATGGTGGTCTCTGCCACCAGCACCGACTCCTCATCTGGCAGCAGCTGGATGCCGTTTGGGAATCGAAGGTTTTCCATCACCACCGTGAGCTCCCTGGTCTCCAGGTCCAGCTCCAGCACTCTGACAAAAGACGACACAACTACACTGATGATGGGCCCACTGAGAGGCTTTTAATGTGAAATCTGCAGGAAGTCTGAAGTTTCATTAACAGGAACCGAACCTGGAGAAAAAGAACTTGATTGTTGTTGTATATGATAATGTCTATTTAAATAAAAAATACAACAGTGTGCAGTCTGGAGCGACATCATGACATTTATAGACTTTTATCACAATTAAAGATTTTTTAAAATATCATCAGACGTACTTAAAAAAAAATAATTAAAGCCTGTTTCAGATTTCACAACCAAAGAATTTACAGTAAATGATTTCTTTTATTCTGAAACATTATAAGTCGAGTGTCGAACCGTCCGTCGGCTGTTGCCTCCATGATGAGCTGCATGTAATCTCTGCGCTGCCACCTGCTGCTGGAGTCAGTGAAGTACACCTTCTTCCCGTCCTGCGTCACCGCCACGTCGTTAATGAACGACAACTTCCTGCCGGCGACCACCTCACCCCCCGACACCAACCTGGTTGCTTCACCTGCTCAGACACAAACAGAGACACAGTGAAGGTGGAGGTCAAAACACATCAGCTGTGATCATGAACCAATAATAATAATGAGCTGACTCACCTGTGGTGGGGTTGACCTCAAACAGACCCAGGTAAGCATCAGCGACAAACAGAGTCCCGTTGGGTCCCAGTCTGATCCCCAACGGTCTCCCACAGCTGGACTCCTCCTCTTTGGATCCTGCAGGACCCAGAACATGTGCAGAAGTCTCATTATTTCAGCTGGTATATATGTACTTTATTTTTGTAATTTACAACAAAACATTATTCTTTATTTTTCTGGCACTAACAGGCTTCCATACATCTTTTATTCTGAAGTGAATGCAAATTGTTTTCAGGCAGCAGTTGATTCATGTTTGTGTTTCTCTGGAAGCAGAACCAGTTAAACACCGTTACTCATTATCAGTAAGTCAGAGAGTTTCCTGTTTGAAGCCCCACCACAATAAGTTCATTCTAACCGTCAGTGAGTCGACTAAATGCTGTTTCAAAACAAAACTTCCTCTTCAGTTACATCCTGACACACCTGGCTGATTCAGAGTGAGTTCAACTGAAACATCAGTAAAACCAGTAAATCTACTCTCTGCTCTGACTTCCTGTTTCACAATAAAAATCCTCCTTTAATGTTGGATGTTTCCTTTGTGTTTTCTCTTCCTCTATAAATGTAAAATCAGACAGAGTTTTTCTCTGGTTTGTGTTCATGTGAAGCCTCAGGTTTAATCTGAGCTCGTGTTTCCTGTTGGTTCCTGTTTCAACACGTTGTTGCTTTAATGTGACTCATGGTGTTTCTGAGTTTCTTCACTCGGTTGTTGTGAAACGTTTGAACTGAAGGGAAAGTTTAAAACTCCAGAATGAAGCAACGACAGCAAACAGAGGAAACAGAGGAAACCACAGAGTTACATGAGAGCAGGGTGAAGGTTCAGAGAGTCATCACTGAGGATTAACTGTTTTCAATCCAGTCACATTTAACTTCAACTCAACTTTACTTTAATTAATTTTTATGTTTAGGTTTTAAAAAATATATTTTTTTTAAGTTTAAAAATAAAGCTAAGCCTAAATTTTTAGGTCTGCCTTAAACTAAACTAACAAAATAAAAGCTTTAGAATACACTTGACTTTTAAATAAACAAGAGTTTAAATTAAACAAAACTTTTAAACTAAACTAAACTAACATAAACTAAACCGTTTTATTTTCTCACCACAGGGAAGTTTCCCGAGTCTCGTCACCGTGTGAATCCTTCGACCGACCAGTTTCACGATTTTCCCGTCAGCTGTTCCAGAAAACAAAACATCTGAAAACAGAAGAGAAACATCTGTCAGCTCTCAGTCTTCTTCATGATCTTCATCACTGCAGATCACTCAACTGATTCTTACTGTTTTCTTCTTCCTCTCAGGTTTTTCAGAGTAAATATATTAAAAAAAAATATTGATCTCTAAAACAAAGGAAAAATGTCACATGATGAGTTCATGTTGGCGTCATGAAACAACTTAAAGATGTTCAGTTTACAATCATATAAAACACAGAAAAGCAGAAAATCTGCTTAAAGAACGATTTAATTAATCAATTATCTAAATTGTTCCTGATTCATTTTCTTAATTGTTCCAGTTCTACTTTTATTTTTAGAAAAACAGATTGAAATAGTTTTTGGACATCAGTTTTCTGCATGAAGCCACAGGTTAAGGACAGATTAGACAACTTGAAAAAATATGTATAAAATTCTCATTTCATTGTGACTTTATAATTTATACTCACTCGTAACTGTTGACTGATAAAAAAAAGGCAATTTTATTTATTCATTTTTATTTACATAACCATAGAATAACCTAATATAATAAATAAAACAGAAAAATACTAAAATAAAACAATAAAAATAAAGATCAGTGGTCTGAGGTTCGATCCCTGAGGAACTCATGATAAAGTTGTACGTCTCTTCAGATTTAAAACCTCTAAAAACTAGTGAGAACCAGGTTCTGAGAGGAACCTGGACTGAGGCTGGGACTGTGGACTCTCCACAACCCGGTCACAGAGTCCCAGACCCTGATCCCTCAGTCCTGCTTCAGAGGCTGCAGCTGAAACTGAGGAAATCTGTGTCGGAGGTTGTGATGATGTAACTGGTGTTTGTTTGTTTCCTTGGCGACACACTGACAAACAAACCGACCTCCGATGTTAGTGATGGACTCTGGTCCCATGATCTGGTCTTCAAAGAGTCTCTGGGCCTCTCGGAGCTTCAGGTTCGGCTCCCAGCAGCCCTTCATCATCGGGGGCTCCTTCAAACTGCAGCACACAGACCCACCAGCAGGGGACAGGAAACAGTGTGACGTGTTAATGACGGAAGATTTAAATAAAGTATTAGGTTGTAACTTTATCCTGGAAATATTACAACATTTTTCTCAAATGAACATCTTTATATCCCTTTATGTCTGTCGCTGTCTGACTGAGTTTCCTCATCTTAAATCTCAACTTAAATCTAAAAATATTCTCATTCAATTTTGAAGATATATTTCTTTTTTTTTTACAATTACACATTTATCCTCAAGTTTTAATAAAAGTGAAATTATTTCAGCTGCTTTCAACAAATAAATCAACTTGTTTCAATAAGTTTTTGACGGCAGTTCAGAGCTCAGGTTTATTCTGGTCCTGCAGAAAGTTACAGTCTGATTTCAGGACTCAAAACTATTTAATAAAAATTAGATCTTTTTGTTTCAAGACAAAAATGGTTAAAAAATCAAAAAATCAAAATGTCATTAAAGTAACTGTTTCATGTCAGGTTGTGTCCTCATGTGATCTGCATCAGAGGTTTGTAAATGAGTCTCCTCATTAATTATTAACCAGCTGCAGGAACTGAGATCTGCAGCAGAGTCCAGAGACTCACTGTGACACAAACTCAACCCGCAACCGTCTCTCTGTGGTTGTTGTGTGTCTCTGTGGTTGTTGTGTGTCTCTCTGTGGGCGTTGTGTGTCTCTGTGGGTGTTGTGTGTCTCTCTGTGGGCGTTGTGTGTCTCTCTGTGGTTGTTGTGTGTCTCTCTGTGGGCGTTGTGTGTCTCTCTGTGGTTGTTGTGTCTCTCTGGGTGTTGTGTGTCTCTCTGTGGTTGTTGTGTCTCTCTGTGGGCGTTGTGTGTCTCTCTGTGGTTGGTATCTCTGTCAGGGATATTCTGCAGGTGTAGCTGAGGCTCTGACTCCTTCACTAATCCACATGATCAGATCAGGTTGATCTCCCACGTTTACATGTTTTCCTTATTTGAATTCTTCTCGTTTATTTTCTTCTCTGTCTTTATGTTAGTCACGGTTTTGTTGTGGTCATGTGATCATGTCTCTGAGCTGAGACTGTCAGACTCACCTGAAGACCTCAGGCTGGATGGGAGACTCCAGGATGAGGATGATGACGAGGAGAGGAAGGAGCAGGAAGCCGCCTAGAGAGAGCAGCGTCACCTGAAACACCTTCCCACTGTAGGTGCTGAGAGAGGAACATGGAGAGACAGAGTCAACACTCTGAGACAGGCTGAGGACGACACAGAGCTGTCACTAACAGCTGATTTCATTATTGATGAAAATCTGAAAGTCAAAAACCTGAAGATCCTCCATTTGATCTGAAACCAGAGAATCTCAAGTTTTACTTTGAAAAATAACAAACCATTCATTGAGTCAGAAGAGTTGCTGAGTTTGTGCAGCTGTAAATACGTCTGACAGGTGTTACTTATGTCAGACTGAACATCTATAGATTTAATCTGAATTTATCAATAAACCCATACATTTATCATCAGCTCCATAAAACAGGCTCAAACAGAAGAACAGCAGGAAACATCCTGAGCTTTACTCCAAAAACACTGGACCCTGTTTTTCCCATGATGCACTTGTATTTATTCGTCCAAAGGGACTTATAAGCACACTTTCACCTCTTTTATCAGACCCCCCCTTCGGGAACCAATCATCCTCTGATCGATCACTCAGAGAGCGAACAGCTGCTGAGCCGCTGGGATCAACACCTGAACTGTAACTACAACATGCACCTGCGCAGTTTATGATCAGCGCATAGTGATCAATAAAACATCGAGAATCTGATCGTTAATCAATGCGACGGACGGTGACGGCTCCCTGCTCTGACGGTACCCGTAAATTAACGGGTGCTGTTCTCCTGTCCGCCCCGGGACGTGGGTCTGAAAGCGGTCCTGGTTCTGTGTCTTACCCGGATCCTTTGTATCGGTGCTCGGGCAGCTCGTCGGTGATGACCTGCGGTCTGTGCAGCCGCCGGAACCGGAGCCCCTCCGTCTCGTTCATGCTGGACTCGGACTCGGACTCGGCTGGAATCGGTTCGGAAGTCGACCTGGAGCTGGACCGGGCCGCTGTGTTAAGGTTTAACCCGGGTAAATAAGGAGGGACCCCAGTTCGGTAAAGCGAGCCTCCTACCGAGTGTGTTTACTACTATCGACACTTCCGGTCTACTTCAAAATAAATGTCCTCCGACAAACCTGTCGTCATTTTTTTCTTTTGCATGTTTCAAAAAATAAAAAACAGAAAAATTAAGTTAAAGAAACAGAAATAAATAAATAAATGGAAAAAAATAAATTTTAAAAAAAGTATTAAAAAAACTAAAAACCAAAATAAACGAAAAAAAATAACCGATGTAACTTATGTTCACACAATATATTTATTTGGTAACTGACAATGTGACCCTGAGATTCCTTCATTTGTTCCCTCAATTCAATCAACAACCAGGACTGGATCAGAGTTTTCATTTAATTTATTTTTCTATTTTCATTTTGCTCCAACATGAAACCAAAGCTGAGATGCTGCTGTAACAACATGAGGAAACAATCAAGTCAAACTCTGGTGAATGTGAATTAAATAACTGGATTAATCCTCGAGTCCTGAACTCCTCAAAACTTCAACAGAGAAACATCAAATCATTTCTCCAAAGATTAAGACACTTTGAATTTTTCATTTATAAACATGAAAAAAAATGTTCAGATGAGTCTGAGTCCATTTCTACAACAGTTTCACCATCATCTCAAATAAATGATTGTTTAAATAAATAAATAAATAGATTGAACTCCACATGACAGGCAGATGTCAGACACCATGTTTGTTTTCGATCTCAGTGGTCAGTACAGGAAGTCGCACAGTTTTTTAAAATAAAATTAAAAAAATAAAACCTGGCAGCTTTGTGTTGATTTGTTAAAACGAAGTATGAAAGTGCAGAGCCACTGCAAACCAGCAGAGGGAGCTCTGACCACATTTATATTATGTTCTTCTACATTCCAGCTCAGGGACAAATCCAGAGTCATAAAGGAAGTTTATAGTTTCTCTCCTCAGCTGCTGAACGTTCAGCTTTCAGTTTGGTTTTATGACAGAATCATGATCTGTATCTTAAAGAGGAACTCAAAGACAAAACCTGGTTCAGATGTGAACCGCTTTTAAAGATCGTCTGTGATCCTGTCACGTCCTCGGGGAATGGGGGTCATCATCACTTCCTGTTTGGTCGGAGTCCCTCTCTCAGGAGAGGTTTGGACCAGGTCTGTCTGGGGGGAGCGTCACTCTGCGGGGACGCACTTGTGCTCCCGGAGGCTTCTCCTGGAGGAGAAGCTGCGGCTGCAGGTGGAGCAGGTGAACGGTCTGTTTCCGGTGTGAACCAGCAGGTGAGTCTTCAGGTTGTTGTTCTGGCTGAACCTCTTGCTGCAGATGCTGCACTCGAATGGTTTCTCTCCACTGTGGACGCGCTTGTGTCGGACCAGGTTCTGCGAAACGCTGAAGTTCTTGCCGCAGACTTCGCAGATGAACGGCTTCTCCCCGCTGTGAGTGCGCACGTGGAGGTTGGCACTCGCCTGCGTGGAGAAGGTTTTGTCGCACTGAGCGCAGTTGAACGGTTTCCCCTCTGAGTGTCTGCGGCGGTGTGTCCTCAGGTAGCTCAGCGAGCTGTAGCCGCGGCCGCACACGTCACAAGAAAAGGGTTTACCGTCGCCGTGCAGCTGCAGGTGCGTCTTCAGCACCTGGGCGGAGGTGAAGCTCTTCCCGCACTCCTCACAGGTGTGTGGTCTCTGCCCGCTGTGTGCCAGCTCGTGACGTTTCAGGGATGTGGATGAGGAGAAGTTCTTCCCACACTCTCCACAGCTGAACGGTTTGACGCCTGCGTGGCTCCTCTCATGGACGAGCAGCGCGCCGCGCTGTCTGAAGCCCTTGCCGCAGGCGTTGCAGATGAACGCCCACTCTGCGCTGTGCACAGCACGGTGCACCTTCAGATGTCCGGCCTGCGTGAAGCTGCGGCCGCACACGTCACAACTGAAGTTGCGGCGGCCAGAGTGGATGAGGCGGTGGCGGCTCAGGTTGGCCGACACGCTGAAGCTCTTCCCGCAGGTGTCGCAGGTGAAGCCCTTCTCCCCAGTGTGCACGCGGTGGTGGACAGACAGGCTGCTCCTGCTGGAGAAACTGTTGCCACATTGCTCGCAGGTGTGCGGCCGCTCACCTGTGTGCGTCCTCAGGTGAGCCTTGAGGCCGCTGTGCTGGCTGAACGCCTTCCCACAGACGCTGCAGGTGAACGGCTTCAGTCCTCTGTGGACCGTCAGCTGATGGATGTCGACGCTGCGGCGCGTGGTGAATCCCTTCTCACAGGTGGGACATTTGAAGGGTTTGTCCTTCAGGTGGACTCTCTGGTGAGCGGACAGGTAACTGTGTTTGGAGAACTCCTTCCCGCACTCCGCACACTTGAACTTCCCGCCTGTCCTCTGACAGGTGAGCCGGTGCTGCCTGAGGCTGCACCTCGCCGCCAGCGTTTCCCCGCAGGCCGAACAGGTGAGCGGGACTCTGCCGGACACCTGGTGCGTCCGCAGGTGGCTGTGGGTGCCGAACACCTTCCCGCAGTGAGAGCACCTGAACGGCCGCTGCTTGTTGTGGACGGTCAGCTGATGGACTCTGACGCTGCTGCGGGCCGAGAAGCCCCTCCCACAGACGGGACAGGTGAAGGGGCGGTCTCTGCTGTGGACCCGCAGGTGAGAGATCAGGTTGGTCCGTCTGGAGAAGCTGCTGCTGCAGACGCTGCAGCTGAAGCTCCGCCTGCTGCCTGCAGCAGGAGTCTGCTCTGATTGGCTGGGGTCGTCTGTAGGAGCGTCTGATTGGCTTCTCACTTCTTCTGCTGCAGGGGGGGTGGAGTCCTGCTGGTTCTCCTGCTGCCCCCTCAGCTCCCGGTTCTCCTCCAGCAGCCTCCTCAGCTCCTGCAGCAGAGCCTCACAAAGCCTCCTCACCACCGACAGCAGCTCCTCCTACAACACACACATTTCAAGTCTTTATTTCTGCTGTTTTTGAACCAGTTTTTCTTAGTCAGGTTTGTCATGAAAAAATGTTGTTTCGTTTGTGGAAATGCAAACACAAAGGTCATCTCAGTGTTCTGTTCAGATGTAGACCACATCAGACCAGGTCCAGATCAAACCGGTACAGTGGTGGACTCACAGTTTGACCCTGTGAACACATCTGCAGCTCTGAGGCTCCATCAGTGTTTCAGCTGCTTCTCCAGAACCTCCTTCCATTGATCATTCATTATAAATCACACCCGATAACTCATCAATAACTTCTTTACAGAGCTAGTTTAGTGTTTAACTGACAGACATCCCCTGCTGCTAACATCTGCAACATCCAACTAACTAACTAACTACCCAACTAACCAGTCTGTGACCAACTAACCGGCCTCTCAGTAACTGACCTCGGTCTGTGAGTTTCCCGGGTCCAGTCTCTGGTAGATTTCAGTTTTCGCGGTCACGGTGAACTCCTCCATGACGGAAGAGACGAGCCGCTGAACACAGGGCGCCATTTTACAGAAACAGACAAATAAAGTTGAAATAAAGACAAAGATTAAAAACTACAGCAACTTCAGCAGGAGAGAAAGAGGGAGGACCGGTGTGTTGTTTTTACCGACAGTTTTCACTTACGGCAGCTTTTACGACAGAAGGAGCGGAGAGAAGGCGCCTATCGCCCCCTGCTGGACGGAGGTCAGAAACACAACGAGTAAATAAACAATACAAAATAAAATGGTAAAAATTAGATTCATAATGATAAAAATATAAAAAGTTAATTATCAAAATAAATAATAATAATAATAAATAAGTAATTGTGTCTATTCTTCATTTATGATTAAATCAGTTGTGTGTAAAAACAGAAACAGCTGAGTTCATGTTTATTACAAAATGTTTATTTCTGTACATTTACATCAGTGATACACAGAGTGATCTGATCAACAGTTAATTAAATGACTAATCAACAAATGCATTTATTAACATACATTATAATCTTACTGTGTGAGCTTCAAACTAAAAATCTATAAAATCTAATTTCTCTGTTCATTAAAAATCATCTGAGGAGGATCATATTCATGTTTCATCATATATTAAAATATATTGAACTGTGGGTGAGGTGAGTTTTACTGTGGGTCTGATGAAGCTGCTGTGACGGACGCCCTGCAGCTACGACTCTCTAACATTTGACTGTTTAATATCTTTGTTTTGGTCTGAAACATGTTCTGACCTCAGTTTATTTTCTCATTTTAACTTCTAAAATCCAGATTCATCTGAAGATCCTGAGAGGAAGATAAAAAAGAATCAGAAATAAAACAGATTTCATTTCCTGTCACAAGGCACAGATTGTTGTTTAGCTCTCAATGAAAATAATCTCTGAGGAGGAAAATACAATTCACATAAAAGAATAACGACAGTAAATCAGACATTTGAAAGGTGATTTGATGTTGATATTCAGAGGTTTTAAGGCTGACGTGATCAGACGTGTTTGTTGCGCGTGTGAATCAGTTTGCACGTCTTTCACAAGTTTTCTGGTTTATTATGAAACACTGAGCAGCAGTACGACATCGTGTTTCTGAGATTAAACCTGTGTCCGATCCTGGGTCAGTGTCTGACGACAGAGCAGGAGACTGAACACAACTGACCTGTCTCACTCCTCACCAGGTGATTCACCTGTTGTCTCACACACACACACACACACACACACACACACACACACACACACACACACACACACACACACACACACACCTGCTCCTTAGCACCAAAAGACTGAGCATCTCCAGGTCACACCTGAGGAACGATGATGTCATCTGTACCTGAGAAGCCGCTCAGTCCCCGCCCACCCCCTCCCTCCTACTTCTTCTTCCTGTACAGCTCATGGGCCTCGATGATCTCCTTGACAACAGACGGGTCGTCCAGGGTCGACACGTCGCCAAGGTCACCGGTTGTCTCCATGACGACCTTCCTCAAGATCCGCCTCATGATTTTACCGGAGCGAGTCTTCGGTAACCGCTTCACCACCTGAGAGACAGACTAACTGTTACCAAGGGCAACAGGAGACCTGAGCTCTGATTGGCTGACAGCTGGCTGTTACCTGTGCTTCATTAAAATATTGAATGAACTTGTTAAATGTGATATTGGTTGTGACGCACCAGGAAGTGCTCAGGGACGGCGTACTTGGCGATCTTGGTCGTGACGAGATCTCTGAGCTGCTGCAGGATGACGGGGGGGGTGTCACCAACGTCCTCCTTCAAAACCACGAAGGCAAACGGTACTGAGAGTGCACACACACACACACACACACACACACACACACACACACACACACACACACACACACACACACACACACACACTTCAGTTTACTCTCATTAACCAACATCATCATAAAGAAACTGTCACAGACGAATAACTGACTTTGATTTGATTCATTAATGATTTTCAGACGTTTGATGATTGTGTCAAAGAAACAGTTTGGTTGTAAGTCCACGGTCGGACCAGCAGGAGGCAGCAGAGTGTCAGAGATCAAACACCTCATGTTTGCATGTTAAAACCCAGAGGATGATGGGAGTTGAAGTTTAACTCTCACCTTCTCCTTTGATGTCATGTGGGATTCCAATCACAGCTGTTTCTGGAACAGCTGGATGTTCATCCTGCACAAACAAACAACAACAACATCAGTTTATTATTGTTTTCAGCTGAAACACTAAATAGACTTTTAAATAAGAGCAATATAGATCCTGACAAGGACCTTCGTATTATTCCCTCATCTCATTCATCTCATCTCATTTCTTCATTTCATAAAAATCCCATTTCATGTCATCTCCTCATCTCATCCTGAATTCTCACTTTGTTTTATCTTGACTGTCATTTTCAGGTCATCTCATCCAGCCTTTTATCTCATCATAACTCTCATGTATTATCAGCCCATAATTTCTCATCACATTTAATTCTTCTTCTTTCATCAGATCTCATGTCATCGTTTTTTCATCTCATCTTTGATCACGTCGACAAGAGATTTAAAAAAACAAGCTCTAATTCTTAAAATTCAGTTTTGTTAAAACTTTAATAGTCAGGAGAATTAATATTAGCAGTTAATGTTTGTGTGTGTGCTGCGTCTCACCAGAGCGTCCTCTATCTCTGCTGTTCCCAGACGGTGACCGCTGACGTTTATCACATCATCCATGCGACCAGTTATCTGGTAGTAACCTTCCTCTGAGCGGTACGCTCCATCACCGGTGAAGTAATGGCCTGATATAAAAAATAATAACATCAGTTCTCAGACTGAGGTGATGGACTGAGTGACTGCAGAGGGTTTTTATTTTTACCGACCAGGGAACGGTTTGAAATAAGCATCGATGAATCTCTGGTGGTCTCCGTAGATACTTCGAGCCATTCCAGGCCACGACTGACTGATACACAGAGCTCCACTGACGGAGTCACCGGACAGAGCTTCACCCTGAAGATCGACAACATGACAACACACACACACAGTCACAGAACAACCATGTAACAGGAAGTATAAATACACATTCTGCTGAAGAGAAACAGTCCAGGTTCAGTGACGAATTACAGCAGATGATGAACATCAAACTCACTGAATGATGATTAAAATCAACCTGTAATTCTGTCTTACATCTTCCTGCTATTGGTTCACACGATGAAACTGAAACATTAAAGCTCCTCCAGTGTAAAGGTCTGTGTCCATGTGTAGTGTGATTATAGATCAGCTCTAGCTTCTATATTAATACTGTGAAAGTATCAAAGCCTCAGTCCACAGAGAAATGCACACAGCCTGTATTCAGAAACTGAGCCTTAAAACCAGCCGTCAGGACTTCTGGAACTTTGTGATGTCACAACAAAGCAGTCACCAAGCCCCGCCCACATGGACCCACCATCCAAACCTTGCAGGATTTGGTTTCTCTGAGTGTTTTTACCTGAAATCTGCTTTATTTTTATTGGATCACTCAGAAAACAGTCAGCCAATCAGAAGAGAGGCTCAGAGCCTCCTCTCTTCTGATTGGCTCACAGACCTGTTGTTACTAGAGCTCCAGAGAGAAGCCTGAGAGAGGAGATGTAAAACTACACTGAGATGGTTTTTATATCTTCTGATGGATCAACACTTCAAATAAAACACAGAAGAAGAAACATGGAGCTTTAAAACTTGACCAGACGAATTTAAACTTTTAAACTTCGTCACTGGGAACAGACAGTGTTACTGTAGTCTTCCTCAGTGTTAACGGGTCAGTGTTAAGTGCAAATTAAATTCTGGACTCAGTGTTTGTCAAACAGTAGGAACAGTGATCTTCATCATCATCATCTTCATCAGTTAGTTAAACTCTGAGAGGATTTCAGAGAAAGTGAAGTGACCTCGACCTCCTGTGAGGATGAGAGTGGAACTGAAGGAGGCCTAATCTAATCTAATCTACACTCAGTAACCAGCGCTGATGAATCCTGGAGCGCAGCAGCAGATTACAGCTCTGCAGCAGAGGGAGGGACGAGGGGAAACTAGCGGATAATTAATTTGGGGGAGCAGCAATGATCCCAACACGGTCTGAAAGTCTGTTAATCAAAGCAAACAGATGCTGCCGGGCCTGTTTTAATTGAAAGATTAAACTGAGAAAGAGAGAGAGGGGTGTCATTCGAAGGCTCGTTCGACCTCTCACATCTAAAGGTCAAGTGGGGTTAACGAGATGCAGACTGATGTGAAGCTGATTGGACGAGAGCTCGGCCGCACAGATCCTCGAAGGATCGTCTTTCAAACGGATCTTAAAACTCTCATCAAAGTGAAACCAACATTTTTCCTTTTGAGTCCAGTTTTTTACATTTGTAATTTACACGTCATGTTTATATTTAACAGAGGAATCTGATGTTCTGTTTTTTTCCTTGTGCAGAATCAAACCCACAATAAACTGACACGACACACAGAAATATAATATATGACATATACAGTATGTCCCTGTATGAGAGATGTCACCATGTATGTTAACTATAAACATCCTCTGGATATATGAAGATATAAGTTTATAAGAATGAAGTGAAATATGAAATACTCGTAGTAAATGTACATTTAATAAAAAATATCTATGTGGTATGAAATGTTGTGACCATATATGTTAATAATAAATATTCAATAAGTATATAAATGTTGATTCATAAAATAAAAGAGTCAAAACAACCACAAAGACTCAAATATACGACTCAAAAAAGAAGCAAAACTACAACAAAGAGGTTGTGTGTTTGTGTTTGTGTAGTTGTGTAGTTGTGTAGCTGTGTGTTTGTGTGTTTGTGGTTGTGTGTTTGAGTAGTTGTGTAGTTGTGTAGCTGTGTGTTTGTGTGTTTGTGGTTGTGTGTTTGTGTAGTTGTGTAGTTGTGCGTCTGTGTTTCCAGGTCACCTCCTCCCCCATGAGAACAGGCTGGATGCCAAAGAACGGCCTCATGGCCATGGCTGGGACGATGGGAGCTCCTTCCTCTGCAGGACGAGGGGCGATGCAGACTCCTCCCGTCTCTAAAGAGAGAGGAACAAAACCACGACTTCAAAATAAAAGTCTCCACTCTGATGATGTGTTCAAGTGCAGCATGTTAGATAATTAACCAGGTATGAACACACTGAAGAATAATAGACTAAAGTCTGATGGAACAGAGTCACGAATAAACTCTTCTTCTTCTTCTTCTTCTTTTTCTTCAGTGGTGTAATGAGATTCAGCTCCACCAGCTTTAGTCTTTCTTTATTTAAATGTATTTGTGTCATTTACAGTGATATATATTTTGTATCAGATGAAATGTGGGAACAGTTCCTGCTCTCTGCCACCAGGGGGCCTCATGTTTCCTCTGCAGCTTTAATTTCCTTTAATTTCTTAATTTATTGGGGCTTTTTCTCCTGCTGACAGAAGGAAGCAGCTGGTCACTCAGAGCTCCGCTGATTGTCCAGGAATTAGGTCACACTCTCTCTCTGTCAGTGATCCTGGACTGTCCTGTCCTGGGGGGTTGTGTGTGTGTGTGTGTGTGTGTGTGTGTGTGTGTGTGTGTGTGTGTGTGTGTGTGTGTGTGTGAATTGAGAGCTGCAGATGTTGAGGGTTGAAGAGAGAATCAGACGGACTGAGACGGCCAGAGAACCAGAACCAGACCAGCAGAGACAGAGACCACATCAGAGACCTGGACTCAGGTCTCCTTTAACCAGCTGGTTACGTTCAAACTGAGCACAGGTGAGTGTGGGCGTGTCTCACCTGTCTGCCACCAGGTGTCCACCAGAGGACACCGTCCGTCTCCAACCACACTGTGGAACCAGTGCCAGGCCTCGTGGTTAATGGGCTCTCCCACTGCATACACACACACACACACACACACACACACACACACACACACACACACACACACACACACACAGTTTATATGGTTTTACTGCACCTCTATCAGCTTCCAGACTTTACATGTCCTGACTGTGTTTGTGTGTGTGTGTGTGTGTGTGTGTGTGTGTGTGTGTGTGTGTGTGTGTGTGTGTGTGTGTGTGTGTGTTCCAGTTTGTTCTTGTTTGAACTGGATCCAGGTCTGAACCTATAACACAGTTAACATCTGGGTTATCAATAGATCAAATATTGATCTTTGATCTGTGTCCATAGGATCACACAGATTGGATGTCAGTGTAATCAGTGTGTGTGTGATAACGACACGCCATCAGGAGATAATTAATGTTGAATAAAGTCATTAACTCCAGGTCAGTGACTTGTTCTACTGGCATCTGAACAATAACATGGAATCCTGTCTGTTGCCTGCTGTTTGTCAGTGAAGACTGTGTTTGTTAATATATTTGACCTCTTTCTTCCTGGTTCTCAGTGTAAATGTTATTCATGTAGCGTCTCTGTGTTTCCACTAATCTGCTTCATGACAAGCATCAAACTGAAACCAGAGACAGAGTCATGTGACCGTCATGTGACGCGGTCGCTGTCAGTTATTAGAGGTTTGTCTTTCTGTCATTATTTTCTTCAGCTTCCATTAAAAGCTTCGGCTGCTGTGGTGGATGAAAACGTCGCAACAATGAACAGAGTTTAATCAGAGTGAAGAACATCACAGAACATTCACCACGTGTAAAATGACAAACTGCGACGGAAACACAGCTCCTGATCATTTTTCAACAGCTGTTTGATCATTAGAGGACATCGAGTTCAACATTAAGACAGTGGATATTCATCTGAGTCTCTGCTGTCACCGCGTCAGAGTTTCCCCTTCCATTATCAAAAGAATTGACGATGAGGAAATTATTGTGATATCTACAGAAATGTTTTTTAAATGCTATAAATGCTGATGATATCGTCATGATCATGATACTGTAGGATGAGATTTATTTTCACATGACCTCATGTTTCCTCAGGTTTAGTGGGAGAACTGAAAGGACTGCAGTGCAGAGACAGTACAGACAGTACAGAAGGTGCAGACGGTGCAGACGGTGCAGAAGGTGCAGCCGGTGCCGAAGGTGCAGAAGGTGCAGACGGTGCAGACAGTACAGACAGTGCAGAGACAGTACAGACGGTGCAGACGGTACAGACGGTGCAGACAGTACAGACAGTGCAGAGACAGTACAGACGGTGCAGACGGTACAGACGGTGCAGACAGTACAGACAGTGCAGAGACAGTACAGACGGTGCAGACGGTACAGACGGTGCAGACAGTACAGACAGTGCAGAGACAGTACAGACGGTGCAGACGGTACAGACGGTGCAGACAGTACAGACAGTGCAGAGACAGTACAGACGGTGCAGACGGTACAGACGGTGCAGACAGTACAGACAGTGCAGAGACAGTACAGACGGTGCAGACGGTACAGACGGTGCAGACAGTACAGACAGTGCAGAGACAGTACAGACGGTGCAGACGGTACAGACGGTGCAGACAGTACAGACAGTGCAGAGACAGTACAGACGGTGCAGACGGTACAGACGGTGCAGACAGTACAGACAGTGCAGAGACAGTACAGACGGTGCAGACGGTACAGACGGTGCAGACAGTACAGACAGTGCAGAGACAGTACAGACGGTGCAGACGGTACAGACGGTGCAGACAGTACAGACAGTGCAGAGACAGTACAGACGGTGCAGACGGTACAGACGGTGCAGACAGTACAGACAGTGCAGAGACAGTACAGACGGTGCAGACGGTACAGACGGTGCAGACAGTACAGACAGTGCAGAGACAGTACAGACGGTGCAGACGGTACAGACGGTGCAGACAGTACAGACAGTGCAGAGACAGTACAGACGGTGCAGACGGTACAGACGGTGCAGACAGTACAGACAGTGCAGAGACAGTACAGACGGTGCAGACGGTACAGACGGTGCAGACAGTACAGACAGTGCAGAGACAGTACAGACGGTGCAGACGGTACAGACGGTGCAGACAGTACAGACAGTGCAGAGACAGTACAGACGGTGCAGACGGTACAGACGGTGCAGACAGTACAGACAGTGCAGAGACAGTACAGACGGTGCAGACGGTACAGACGGTGCAGACAGTACAGACAGTGCAGAGACAGTACAGACGGTGCAGACGGTACAGACGGTGCAGACAGTACAGACAGTGCAGAGACAGTACAGATGGTGCAGATGGTGCAGACGGTGCAGACGGTACAGAAAGTGCAGACGGTACAGACGGTGCAGAGACAGTACAGACAGTATAGAAGGTGCAGACGGTGCAGACGGTACAGACGGTGCAGACAGTACAGACAGTGCAGAGACAGTACAGACAGTATAGAAGGTACAGACGGTGCAGACGGTACAGACGGTGCAAACGGTACAGAAGGTGCAGACGGTGCAGACGGTGCAGACGGTACAGAAGGTGCAGACGGTGCAGACGGTGCAGAAGGTGCCGACGGTGCAGACGGTGCAGACGGTGCAGACGGTACAGAAGGTGCAGACGGTGCAGAAGGTGCCGACGGTGCAGACGGTGCAGACAGTACGTAATGTAAGGACATTTGAAACCACATGACCCACTTTACCTGTATGTGACTGATGGTTATTGTGATGTGAGGCGGTTAACAGGGTAACAGAGTAACCAAGGTAACAACATCAAGGTTTTATTCTTCATGTCATCATAACTGTCAACATGTCTGTTGTCATTGGTTACTGACCTGATCCCAGCGTCCTCAGAGACGAGCGGTCGTACTTCTTCACCCAGCTCTCGTCGTACTTCAGCAGCAGACGCAGAGCGGTGGGAGCTCCGTAGAACTGAGTGATCCTCAAACGCTCCACCGTCTCCCAGTACCTGCCTGAACACATCACACTGCCACATCAAACAACCTTTATTTAAAACATGCTGCAGAACAGTGGCTCAGGTGCGAGCAGGTGCACTGTCCATTAGTGATGTCATTGTTCCATTCATGCAGAGGAATCGTTATTTCCATGCGTCGTACTTTAACGAATGCCCAGAGATTTAATCAGATCAACATCATGTTTGTTCAGAACGACCTTTACACCTGTGTGATGAAACTGTGAAGCTTCTTAAGGGACGTTGAACGGCATGGCCGTGGCAAATTTTGATGTTTTACCATGAAACAGGAAGTTGTTGTAACTCTATTCTACATCATGTTTGATGACAGTCCCACACTGAGGACATCTGCATGCTAATATGATGTCAGTCACAGCGCCACCTGTTGAAAACAGGAAGTAACCATCATCATTTGATTACATGACGTCTTCACTCTCGTGTCAGACTCTGTTCTCTGGACCCTCAGTGTTTCCTTCTGCACCAAGCAATGAACAATAAACAGGTCAAAGGTCACGGCCACATCAAAGTGACATAAAGGTCACATGACCTCGTAGTGATGTAGGTCATGAGCTGTTAGGGCCGAGCAGCCAATCAGAGCCAAGAGGAAACACGACTGTAAAACAATACAGGTGAGATAAAGTGACTCCGCCCCTCGACTGCAGGTGATAAACCAACGTTAACAACGTTAATAAGTAACCGAACACCACCCACCCCACCCACCCTTCCCCCCTCTGTTCAGTCATTACTCTGCAAACAGCTTCACTGAACCTGACTCTTACTGTACAGCACACCTGACAGGTGAAGACAAGGTGAATTTAACACATGCACATGGAAATACAAAATATGGGTTTGATCTGTCTGTGACTCTGTGGACAGAGAGCAGCAGAGCAGGAACATGGTCTGTGTATCAGCCACAGTGAACAGACGCTCAGGTTCTTGTTATTGACCCAGAACCTCAGACAGCCAGGGTCCATACGTCACAAGCTCAGGAACCGACCCTGTCACCTCCAGTACACAGACAGAGAGTTAGCATTAGCACAACCGCTAACACTGTGTCAGCCACTGCCAGTTACACACTAAAAAACAACAAACAAATAATAGATGCTAACTATGCTAACCGTTCTGAACAAACGCTAACTACACTAACTGTTCTGAACAGATGTTATCTAGCTAACCGCCTGAACAGATGCTAACTAGCTAACCGTTCTGAACAGATGCTAACTAGCTAACCGTTCTGAACAGATGCTAACTAGCTAACCGTTCTGAACAGATGCTAACTACGCTAACCGTTCTGAACAGATGCTAACTAGCTAACTGTTCTGAACAGATGCTAGTCCCTGGTTCTGGTCTCAACAGACTGCTCATCTGAGTCTGAGGATTTTTACAGAGTTAAAAACATGGAGGAACTTTAAATGAAGTGTAGCTGCGTCTCTGGGACACACTCTCTGGTGGACCAGTAGCTGTCAGGAGCCACAGTGTCTCAGCGTCTCAGTGTTTCAGCTCTCTGACGTCAGGATTAGACGACGATGGTACGCCTCCATCTTTATGTGATTCAGCAGCTTGTATGAAGAACTGTACCAGAAGACTTGGTCTTGAATGACCTGAGGTCTTCCTGCTATGCTCTTTTTACCCAGGATGCCTTGGGAGTTGACTCTGTATTAATATCCCAGCATGCATTTCACACTAACCAATGGCAATGATGGAGACAGACTCACAGCTGTTATTGTGTCATTAAATTAAGTTTTTTATCGAGTCATTAACCGATTACATTTGAAATATGCAGCTCCGTGTTTGGCTGTTTATTAGTGAAATGCATGCAGGGAGTTTTTACTGAATATGAGGAACGTGTATGTGTGTGGAGCTCTGTGTCCAGGTGTGGGTCTCACCTGGGTCTGGGTAGACAGGTGTGCTCTCAAACAGGACGGTGGTGGCGCCGTTACACAGAGGACCGTACACCACGTAACTGTGGCCCGTTATCCAGCCGACGTCCGCCACACAGCCGAACACGTCGCCGTCTCGGTAATCAAACACGTACTGAAACACACACGACACTACTCAGACTGATGACAACACACCGTTTCCTCCAACACTGCTGAACCACATTTCCCAGAAGCCTCAGCGTCAGTTCAGTTTAATTTCCAGTCTGACACATTAGGTTGAATTTCTCCTTAGCTGAGGGAGTTATTTAAGGCTGGTGCACAGAGGTTTCCTTTGTTCAGGCATTTGAAGGGGGGGGGGGGGTTGTTTTGATCACAAACAAAATGGCTGAGAAGCCAAAGTGAGGATCCTAGCAACGCCACTCTCTCTCTGTGTCTCAGTGTCTCTCGCCCTGGCGTGGACCCAGCAGTCCTCGTCTTTTTCTGATAAAGCAGCTTTTGTTGTGTTGTTTCATCCAAACAAACAGCGAGCCAACCCCCCCCCCCCC